TAAACTACTTTACCCTCCACCACCACCTATTAAGAAGACATTTAAAATCCAAGGATACGGTGCAATCCTGTCCCATTTGACATTCAGCATTCCTGAAACAATTCCAAAGTCTTCAGGAGGAAAAGAGTCATCTGAGAGTTCCACCTCCAGAGCAGCACTGCACAGACAGACAAGCAGAAGACATTCAATTAGATAACAGCTCCATGGCTACTAAAAGCCTGCTGAAGATACAAACAACATAGATTAAACTTAGCTTGTCTGGGAAATGTATTTCCACATTAACGAGCCATTTTGATAAAACAGCATATGTGCAGCCGTGTGAGAGGCTACACCGGGGCTGTCTACAAAGTGCAACACCAAAAAGAGGCACTTTTGTAGCTTGGCACGTATACACATTTTTTTTCCAAACTAAGTGCTGTGGTATAACCAGCAGGAGACCAGTGACGCCTTAAATGTTTTTGGCAGCACTGGACTAACCTAAGTGTGAATATTTTCATAGTCTCTCTTCTTGGCAGTGTGCTTTCAGGGCTCCAGACTGATCAATAGCATTTTGTGACCAAATTTATTTAAAGTGCAAATGACTCTCTTCAGCAAAATAAACAGGTTATGCATGAACGACTGCTGTCACTGTAGAAATGGCAAACAGATGTAACAATCCCAGGACACCGTCATTGTCACTCTCTCGTCTCACAAGGCAGAGATTCCCAATCTATCAAATGTGTCAAACCACACTTACTCAGACACACACGTCACCCCTTCTCTTTGGTGCATTTGAAGTGTAATCGCCACAGACAGCTGCTTAAATCAGGTAGATCACCTGTTAATGTGTTGGAAACTTCTTTTTACACGAATCTGAAACACTGCTGATTTCCCACTGAGTAGCCTACATGAAGACTATTTTTGTCCAGTACATTTCTGCTGTTGGTCGGCCCGGTGAAGACTGTGCTGTCCTCCTGCTGACAGACAGCTGTTCTGACTAATACTATACTAATAAAACTGAAGTGAATAGTAACTTTAGCCCAAAAATGAGCTGGCACTAGCCATGTGAGTGAGAGCTGAACTGTGCATGAGGTCCAACACAGATGCTGCCAAAGAGCAGAAATCCTTCTTCAGAAGAAAAACAGCATATAAATAAATTATGTACACAAACGGCAAAGCATGTGTGCAACACTCAGTTTATAGTTCGGTTGAAATATAATAACCTAACCATCATCATCGTCATCATTATCATCACACTGACTGCTAGGCTACACAGCGCTGAAGTGACTGTACAGAAGAAGAGCAGGAAACTTGTTCCAGAAGTGGTTTTCACATTTACTGTGTTCCATAGGTCTCCCTCGCTCTGAATTTTATTCTAAATATAGGCTATACACATTGGAAGGGAAGGTCATTTAAAATAATCTGAAAAAATACAGATGATTTTGTATTACATTATAAAATACAGGTGGTGCCACCATCTGTAAGGTTTGGTGGCACCAGTGTGAAATGTTAGTCTGGAGCCCTGACTTTGTAGATGGTCCCTTGTGCGCAGGCCTGGTTCATTGTTGGGGGTATGTCTGGATGAAGCCCTGAGGACCATAACATACAAGTGCCCAAGGTGTGAATGACAAACACCGGTGTTTAACAGACTGCTGAAACAGCAGTGTTACCAACCTCAACTCTGAAAAGCGCTGTACTGTTTAAACATGTGCTGCAGTCTTATTATCCAATCTAAAAATTGCCATTTGGGACAGCCCTACAATTAACAGCTTCACAGTACATACAATATTCTATCAGTCCTAACCTGGAGCCCACATTGTAGATGTTGTACTGCAAGGTGAGGTCACGGCCCTCCACAGCATAGCGGTACAGCAGAGATTTAGAGGCCAGCAGGCGGGCTCCCTCTTCTCCTGAGCCCAGACCAAGCAGAGCAAGGACCACAAACAGGTTTAGCATCTTAGTCATCTGGGGGGAAAAGCACAGGCCTCAATAATACAAATATGAGAATGACTTATAAAGACATATATGCTACTCTGAAATGATAAAAAATTAGAGGTGTCACAGTCTGATATAGGTATCCACATTGACACTGATCCAGCCATCTTTCATAGGACTGCTATAGGGCAGAATAAAGCCCAACCATTTACTGTCACTGTTTAGAACCACAGTCCTGTATTAGAGTGGCCTTACTCATGTTTTTGAGATGTGCATGTCATGCAACTGATAAGCTGCAGTACTAGTCAGTCCAGCTGCCTACACGGCCTGCATGTCAGCTGGCACAGACCTCATGCACAGCTGGAACTTGAAGCCTACTTTTAGCTTCAGGTCTATAATATCCCATGAGCATTTGAAATTGAAACTTGCTGAATGTTTTAACCCCATACCATCATTTCATAACACTCACCTGATTTCTGAAGGTATTTTCCAAATCTTCAGACTCTTCTAACAGAATCAAAAATAATCCGATCGAGTCCAGAAAAGTATAAATTTGTTTGTTTTTCAAGCGAAATGACTTGTTAAGATGGCAACAGGAAATGACATCTCTCATATTTTGTGAAAGTTGAGCATGAATGTATTATTGAAACCAACAATATTATTATTGTATTATTGAAAATGAAATGAAATTATTATTGAAATCGTTTAAGTACTACATTGATGAAGTCAAGCCACTTTCACACAAAGCCAGAGTGCTGACAACATTTCCTGCTGCCCTCTTTTCTTAACTGAAAAGAAACTGGTTGACCCAAGAAAGTGATTAAAATTATATGTTCTCTGGACGAGAATGGACTGTTTTTGATTTTGTATCATTAGAAGAGTCTGAGGATTTGGGAAGTACCTTCAGAAATTGGGTGAGTGTTATGACACAACAGTACAGAGTTGAAGCGTTCAGCAATCTCAATTTTTAAATGCTTTAGTGCCAGGAAGTTCAGTTCTTATGGTTACCTGGTGCACATACTGGCTGCTAGGCAACATGAATCGAACCCTTCAGGTTTTTTGGTACCCAGTACATGCCCCCAGTACATGGCCACTACAGGTCAGGCAAGATGTGTGATAACTGATTGGTATCAAGTGGAGGTAAAGCATTTTAATCCTGCGCCTGGTAAAGGCTTTGTTTGGCCGATCTTTTATAATGTGACAGAATGGTTTATTGTCTGATATTGTTGGTTTTTATTTGTATTTTACAAGCCAAAGCTAACAGCGAACAACGCTGGATCTACTCTACTGAGACTCTGGCACATGAACGAAGGAGACGAGCCATGCACAGCTGGTGTAGTATGAAGTGTGGAGGGAGAGCATGTTTAGCTCATACCAGTGTCAGCAGGTCAAGTTTGAACGAGAGTTCGTACCCGCCCATGTCGGCACATACGGGAAGAGTCGAGGGAGGGCGAGCCTGTACGAGTTGTGAGACAAGCGCCTGCGGAGTTGTACTGACAATGATGCACTGAACTGTTCCAGCAGCAAGTACAGCCCCAAGTGTAAAACGTGTCTCCTGCTAAACTGCTTAAAGCTAAACCTTATCACACAGTACTCACATGTTTTTAGCACTAGTTATAGTTGAAATGCTTTAATTTATATAGGCAGAGCTAGATTGGCATCATACTGTATAAAAGGCGAAAAGACGGGAGAACACAAAAGCCTTTGTCAGTGTTGGACTTTTGCGCACAACATGTGGCTATGTCCTGGTGTCGATACATATACTATTACATATACATACACACACAGAGAGAGAGAGAGAGAGAGATAATGTTCACTTCGGAACAAACAGCCTACAACCAGCTGCAGGTGGTACTAGGAGGCAGGTCTGGCAGCTGTGACTTGTAGGGGTATAACTTGTTCCAGAGGGAGGGTTGAGGGTAACCGGATGCATGTTCCGCCCCTGTACCGCAGTCCACAGGCATACTGTACAAAGTTACTGTTAGATTTTGAAGTTAAACATTTACGGATGCATCAGCACCACTATCGAGTATCAGGTCTGATACCACCCTCTAGTACTTGAAGTTAAAGCAATATTGATGTATCCCTGTGTATGTAGAATTAGTCTTAGCTGTTGTCACTTCTTACTCCCCACACAGACCCTGAATGTTGTTGTTAGTGGTGTTTACTACTCAAGTTGTGGTCAGAGTTCATGTGGAACCAAGTTTGTCCTCTGCAGATTAGACAGCTGGAGTATGTTTGCTTTCTCTGATTGTGGAACACCAGTCAAGCTTTCCTCTGCATTTGGGTTATATTTGTCACTCCTGTGCTTCTCCTATTTATTGTAGCTGTATTTATCCAGTGTTTTGAGAGAAACAAGCGGTGGACAAAAATGTTCAGATTTCACCTGAGGGATCCTGACAGAAGCCAGCTGTGCCTAATAGCACTAAAAATGGACAGAACCACCACAATAAAGTTTATGAGGAGTGTCCATCCTGCTAAATATACAGGTGTGTGTATATATATGGAGCAGCAGTACAACGCACGGAAGATGACCTCTGTGACCCCAGCGCATGTATACATCAGAGTCACTACTAGGGGCAGGACTGACATGCTGGTCAGTGACTGTAAATGTTCGGGTGTCCGCATACATTTCACTACGAAGACAAAGACACGAGTATAAAAACCCGTCTATGGAAAAAGACATTAAATGTGTCAAAACAGCTGATGATGATGTCCAAGGCCAACAGCTGTAAACGGGCCTGGCATTTTAACGTTAGTTATAAAACGTCCAGAGCATTAACGTTAATAACGGATATGAATGAGGACTTACACTGCGCCCCGCTTCAAAGTGCCAACGCTGCCTGTTACGGGCGCTTACGTGGACTGGACGTCAGTCAACGTAACCGTGTTCGCGCACGGACTGCGTGAGCTAATCTGATCCCAGCACGGACGTGTCCAGTCTATATGTACGTGTCTAAGAATCTGCCTGTGAAATTTCATCAAATGCATATACTCCACATGTCTAATTACTATTCCAAAGTGAATAATGAGAAGGCTAAAGACGCTCCTCCCCCTGTAAAATGCAGGATCTTATTGTGAAGGACGGTAATGAACGTGTTTCAGCATTAGCGTTTACTTGGCCGAGACATTAACAAGCTAATAACCATGGAAATGCTATACAACACAGACAAAATGCTATACAACACCGACAAAAACAGGCCGAGTGGCAGAGACAAGAGCTCCGTGAAGGGATAATATCAAACCTCGGCTAAATCCCCGGCGTTAGCGCTGTTTTGTCGCCACTAACTAAAGGAAATATGAAACAAATGACTAACATGATGTATAGATATAAAGGTAAGAAGTTAGATTTTAAATATGTACCGTAACATTACCCGAAAACGTCTCACGATCATTTATATTTGTAGCTAATAACAACGTTACCCAAAATGCGTCAGTGAGAGGACGCCGTTAAAATCACATGAACAATCATCACACCTGACACTACCGGGGCAGCGGAAGTGCTGCTGCTCTATCTGCTCCTAAACTCTCAAATGACCTGATTTGTATCGTTTAAGCAATTAAAAGAACAGCTTGTTACCGCTCACGTAGCCTCCACGAACAGCAACTACTGAAAGGGTAACACAGGCGCAGACTCAGAGGCTAAAAGCTGCGTTTGCATGACGTGTACCGACGGCGAACTTACGAACGCTCCAGCCAGTGCAGCGCCCCTGGCGTCTGGGAGGTGCTGAGGTTCATGTAGGGCGCAGGACTTTCGAGCTATAGCTACTTTTAGTTAAATAAATAATGAAACAGGTTAGCAAATGCACTCCATATTTTCGCTTCAAAGATGGGATGCGCCTATCACAAACCCTCCACCACGTGTTCATAGTGCATTTTTGTTACTTATTATCCTGCTCACCTGTCTGAATACATCTGTGTAAAGATCATACATGAGAAGCTGTTATCTCAAATCAGAATCTGTCATTCACAATTCCAGAAGAGAGAAAAATGCACATTTACAAATGGCCTATGTAGAGATCCATACATTCAATGCACTTAATTATTACTTTGTGTAATGGTTTCTTTTTTATATTTTCTTGCAGTAACTACAGAGTCATATGCATATGACTTTTTCACTCAGATCTAGAGTTGCTAACTCTATCTGCCTTCACTGAGTCCAGCAGTCACAGATAGACAGAGGTGCAGTCATGAGTCTGACAACTCTGATCTTTTGCACCATCAAAATATGAAAATAAGAATCAGAATCAGCTTTATTGGCCAGGTGTGACGGACACATGAGGAATTTGACTCAGGTACATCGGCTCTCAGTGTGCAAAACAGTAAACCAGCATAAGGCTGTGTAATACAATATAGCAGTATTAACATCAACAAACAGTGCATGTTAATAATAAAGCTGATTCTGATTCTGATTCAGACTCGTGACTGCACCTCTGTCTATCTGTGACTGCTGGACTCAGTGAAGGCAGATAGAGTTAACAATTCTAGATCTGAGTGAAAACCAACTAAGCAACCAACCAACCAACTAAGAACCACTGAGATGACAACATTCATAGTGCACTGTACAGGAGTGGTCCCTTCAGCACCTCAACGCCACAAAACCACAGAACGAGGCAGGACTGGCAATGCAAAATCCCTACAATAAGGTATAAGTAGTCTAAATTAATTAAAATTAAATTGTGCAATTTCAGTTTTTCTGTTGGTGCCCCAGAGTTGATTTTTGTTTGAATTTATATTTTTCCTGGCATTTACTTCCATGTGTTCAATATGTAAAAAACCAAAAAATTAATTTAGATTTTTCCAGGAGGACTAAATCAGTTGTGGGAGTTTCTTGAAATCTGTTTCTAAAAATATGTTTTGGCCTATGACACTGATATCAACAACATACAGTGGATCCTAATCCAAAGTTGTTGGATTGTCCACAGTACACCTACCTTTTAAACTGTTTGTCTATATATTTTTGGCTGTGCTGGTTTGTACAGGTTACAGAGAAGGTTATTTGGCTCCACCGGGTGTCTGAATATGGTTTGATTCTGTGAAAACTACAGCTGATGTAGCCAGTAGGTACCTCTTCCACCCCTGAGTTTACCATCAAGACATTATAATAACGAGTGATGAGGCCGTACACTATCACCAGGGCTTGAACCTGTTACTTCCATCAAACATTGGGCACTGGAAATATAAATGCAGGATTGTTACCCACACATTATTTCTTCAACTTCAATATAAAATATAAAAAAATTCAACTGTAACAAAATTTCTCAGTAAAATATCTTGATGTTAAACTTGGAGGTGGAAATTATGCTAATGGAACATTCTGGCCACATCAGCTGTATTTTTTAAAACCATATTCCAACACCAGGTGGAGCAAAATAGCCTTCTGTGTAGCCTGTAAAAATCAGATCAGTTAAACAAAAGGTAGCCTTTAGACAAATTGTTTAATCTATCTCCCAGCAAGTTACATGCACCCTGCTAAGGGGCTTGGTTGGTGAACTCTGGACAAGAGGATACAGTTAATCTGTCCAAAACATTTTATTTTTAGAGACAGACTTAGTCTGAGCGTAAAAGTAATAAAAAGTCACTGCATACGAACAAATGTCACATAATGTCACAGTGTGCAATAAGACAAAGACATATTCCCTCCAACTACACATGTAGGCTATATTTCTTTTATAAAGGCATAAGACAAAAAATAGCATGAATGCACATTGTTGACATAGATTTCTTTAACACAGCTCTGCTTTTGTACTTTCTCTTAGTACTGCTGTTTTTGTTTCATTTAGCTTTTCTTTCAATGAAAGCAACAGTGTTATCTGTTAAACCCTGTTGTTTCTGTGTGGTGGGATTGTGAAACTGGGCGACCTCTGTTATATTTCAACTGAAAGTAGAAAGTGACAGAGATTTATACTTTAATGAAGACAATTTACATTTTACTTCATTTTAAGAAGAACAGTGGCTGACAATAAAGTCAGCTGGTTGCCTACACTGATGCACCTCTGCAGAAGCATCTGAAAGAATGATTCAAATTATGGCCCGTGATTAAAACATGTTTTGGTGTTTGTGCCATAACTGAGAAGTCAAGTAACCACGTTGAGGTTGATCGTGAATGATGGGAGACAAATAGTTGTTTGATGGTTTCATTAAAACTTTGATTCATCCTTTGTCATTTACTCAGATACAACACAATGTGCGTGAAGCACGTACAGCAACGTAAGTCGGAGAAGCTGGGTGTAGGCTGCTTTTCAAGTGGGTGTGCCTACTCATTCATAAAGTGGGGATATATAAGGCACAACTGCAGCAGGTTAGTCATTCATCAGGTGTAATATTGTCACCAACATCAGCTCTCAGATCAGTCATGCTCCGTCGTGCCAGCGAACTCCAGCTCCTCGCGCTCCTGCTGCTGCTGAGCAGGGGCCGCTCAGTTGTTCACAACAACGCCACGGAGTCAATCGGTCTTCAGCCGGTCCACAACACCCAGGACGTTCCGGACGATGAAGACACGAACCAGGCGAGGAAAGGCGGGCGATGGCAGCCTGACGCTGTGCGTAACGGTGAGTCCAAACGGTTACGCAGACTACAGTACGTTTATACCAATAGTAAAGTCGACACATGTGGCTTCGAATGAACACCTGGGTGGCTGGTATAAAGGTGGACTGACAAAAAAACAACTTTTGAGAAAAAAAGATTAAGCATTTGGCATCAGTGTTTCTGTAAGACAGTTGTGATGAATTGCCATTAAAAACAGGCTGTAGCCCTCAAAGGCGTTGCACACTGGTTGAATAAAGGTTAAATATGATACGTAAATAAATTAACTGCATATTGTGACTTAGGGATGAAGAAAGAAAGGAAACTGCATAAACGACAAAAATGTGAGAAAGAAGAGAAGAATGTGATACAACACTAAAACATCTCTGGGAGATATGTTGTTCACAATCAATCACACCTAAAATGGAAAGGCCACTGATGCACCAGAGGAACTGGGTGTATACCAAGTAAAAAGTATTTTGTTCATATAATCATTTTTGTGGTTTTCTTATGGTATATTAATTCCTGGCATACAAGCAAACAAAAAAACCACACCTCCTGAAGCTGTGATCTATGTGGACTTAAGGTGGACAGGAAGACAGTATGCAACACACACACTGTGTTTTCATTCCTCGTGAGGACTTTACATTGACTTACATTCATTTCTGGTAGAGTATCCAAACCTTAACCATAACCACTACTTGCCTAACCCTAACCCTGACCTTAAACCATATTGCCACCCTAACATTCTGGCCCGTGTGTTGTATAGGATGCATGACTAAGGCTGTGTTTGCCGGAGCTGGTGTGTAGGTTGACATGACTGTGTTCACTTTCCAATGAAGTTCATCAGTGATGAAAAATCTTGTTTCATTTATATTTGTTCCAGATAAACATGCTTTTTCCACCCAAAACCTGATTATAATTCTTTGTATTACATTTTATCAGAAAAATGAAAAGCACGTTTATTCATAAATGTGATGTAACACAGGTAAATGCAAATATGAACTATATATGTTGCAGATACTTCTTGTAATTAGGAAAAAGTAAACGTCTGTTAAGTATTTTAAATAAATTATGGCTGTATTGATTTAAAAGCCCAGTACCAAAAACATGAACACCACACATTAGACATGAGTCCTCTGGCTCTAGCTGTTGATTTACAGGGGTACTGTACCCCTCCAGCAATGTAGTAGGCTTCCACAGAGTTGGTCGACTTGTGAAAGACTTTCAAAACACATTAAACTAAATCAGTGCAGCAGACAGTGAGACATGCTGACTTTTAGGGCAGGATATTTCAGTCCCCACAAAAGTTCATGTTCATCAGACCTTCCCTGCCTGATAAATGGGCATGCCTTTCTCCACAATCCAGTTTGTAAAGTAGCCTTTTGTTAAAAACCTTTGTTATGCAGTGACTCAGTTTAAGGCAGGTAAAGAAAGAGGAGATACCAGCCACCTTACCTCAAGCTGTGATATTTTCTTAGATCTGAACATAAAATGCCACATGAGAGTGAAGTGGAGCATGTGTATATGTAACTCCGTTTTTATTTCTCAGGCCCAGACCAAAGCCAAGTGGGCTGCAGGGAGCTGAGGTCCACAAAGTACATTTCTGATGGCCAGTGTACCAGCGTCAACCCCATCAAGGAACTGGTCTGTGCTGGGGAGTGTCTGCCAACCCATCTGCTGCCCAACTGGATCGGGGGTGGGGGCCACACTGGGAGGTACTGGAGTCGCCGCGACACCCAGGAGTGGCGCTGTGTCATTGACCGGACCAGGGCCCAGCGGATCCGTTTGCAGTGCCAAGATGGTAGCTCCAGAACCTACAAGATAACTGTGGTGACCTCCTGCACGTGCAAGCGCTACTCAAGACAGCAAAATGACTCAGGACACAAGGACACCACTGTCCACACTGGTAGACAGAGGAAAAATCAGAGGAAAGCTGAAGTCGCTGAGGAGAGAGATGGGATGCAATCTGGCAACTAAAAGACATGTAATCCAGCTGTTACAGAGGAAATCTTCTAACAACCAGTCTTGTCTTCATCAAGAGGTTAATGGATGAATTATAAGTGTGCAAATAATAAGCAAATGTTTAGGGGCCAGGGCAAACAGAAGTAAAAGTGATTAGTGTAGATCTGTTTCCAGATGTATCTCAGATTATTGTGACACGGAAAAATCTTTTAAGATTAGTCTGTAGACCAAAACACACATCATTTAGACGAATGGTTCAACAGTCTAGCAATTATGCTTATTTGCTGTCCTTTGGGCAGTGAGATCTTCAGTTTTATGCCTGTGTGTAGTGTCTTGGGGTCAGGACATATTTAGCCTAGCTTAGCATAAAGATTGGAAGCTGGGGGAGGCAGGTGGCCTGGCTGTGTCCAAAGTTAAAGAATACACCTGCACAAATGCTTGTATCTTGTTTGTCCTGTCTTTACACAGAGACAGAAATGAACAAACTGGTTTTACCCCTAACCAGAATCATGGGGGGGTTGATTGGGTGTGCGTACAACATGCAGGGTTTTGACTTAATAATGACATACATACATTACTACATTACTGTTATATTATTATGATGTTGTATTGCAAATTTGGATTTGGCACTGTTTGCAAAAAACAATCTGGTCAAAATTATGCTCCCTTCACAATGTATATGCTGTTACAGTTTTGTTGTATATTAGGATAATTTCTCAGAGATGAGTTTGGATTATGTACATTTTGATGTAGTCCGTAGCATCACAGTTAGCTGCTTTGTATGCACTGCTCTTCATTTTGCACTCTACCTCGAATAAACTGTTTGCTGTTTGGTCTGGATCTGCTGTCAGAGGTGCACATCGAGCTACTGATACTCTGGGCAACACTGCTCCCAGGGGGTGTATTACACTACCAGCCAAACGTCGTCCCCTTTGTATTGTATGGGAAAGTTTGTCCAAACTTTTGACTTGTAGTGTACGTCACCTGAGAGCCCCCATCTCACATAAGGACTCACAAACTGCTGCACTGTTACAGTATGTAATGTTCTGGTGGTTCTGGCAGTAATAAAGGTGCATTGGAATGTAGCAACATAACAGTTTGACAGTACAGGAGATTTTGTCTTGGAAAGAAATGCCAGCGTGGATGTAAGTGTAGATCTGCTGTGTCACATCAGATACATAATAATAGAAAACAGAAATCCTTTACATCATCCAAAGGCTAAACAGACTTTTGATGCAAGATATGTAAATGTTTATTTTACCATAATTTGTGAATGTTTCAAATGTGAAGTTAGGTTTTTATAATTTAGTGATGCTTAGATAGCCGATAGTGTAAGTGTACAATATATGGGTAATGTTTGATGGGTTTTTATACAATGAATAGTATGTAATTTATTTTTGTACCAGAACAGTTTAAGTTCTTATATACACACACATATATATATATATATATATATATGTGTGTGTGTGTGTGTGTGTGTGTGTGTGTGTGTG